TTAGCACATGTCACAGTTTGAACTTTGAAGTCTTTCACATTGTGCTTGCGCACGTGCAGTGCTCACTCTTGCGCTCGCTAGCTCGTCGCTGTTAGTTTGCGTCTTTCTCGTTTATTGACCGGTTGCTGCCCACCTTGGGGTCAAGTTTCATCGCCATCGCACAAGTTATTGTGCACTGTGCAGTTACTGTTAGTAGAACATTGTTTACACCTCGTGCTGTAACTCATATTTTCCTCATATCTCAGCTTGACTCGCTCGCGCGCAAGGCCAGCTCGCCTATACAAATCTGTTCACTGAACCATCACTTTATATCTCGCCATGGTAGGGAGGGGGGGGGGGTCGATGCGACCCCCCTAAGGTTTTTCAAATATAACGTATAAAAACGGAGGCGCACAACGCCGCCAAATTTGGCACAGCCTATGGGGCAGCCTGTTTACATAGGTACAATCTTAAAATTTCAGGTCCGCGTGACCTTGGGTCAGGTCAGGGCTGATTTTTGGTATAGCTGCTCCTCTATCCTTTCTTGATGTCCACTGAAAATTTTAAGTTTCTGTGATTTTTGGTTTCGGAGATATGACCTTGTTTTTCAGGTCATGTCATGACCCAAATGGCCAATTCTCAACATCTTGCGTTGGCTATGGGCCTTGTGAGCTTTTGACACCTTGATTTCGGCCTTTTTTGCCAGTCTCACCTCCCACCTATCATGGAACATGTTGTTCGACGATTTACAGATGTCAAGGTCAAGGTCAAGGTCAACCTAGGTCATCTAAGATAATTGCGTTTTGGCAAGCGGAATTTACTTTGTGTGAAGTTTTTTGACTGCATTTTGGGTAAAACCTTCTCAGATCATGATTTCATGTAATATGGACACATAAACAATCGGTGCACGCATCAGTATACACACAGACACACACAGACATACAAACACATATAATTGACCTTGACCTAACTTTACCTGAAATGACCTCAGCAGCAAAAACCTGGTCGGGTAGTGTGGCAAAAAGGTTCTAGCTGGCTTGGCACCAGAAAACGGCATCGTCATCGGTATATGATAAGCAGCGCACTTGATATCCAACGGTGACCCAAAACAGCAACATTTTTTAGTTTGACCTGACCTGGAAGGTCAATGACTGACCTGAGAAGGTAAAACTGGGTATCATTGGATTCGTCTCTTCCCAAAGAATCTTTTTGGTCTTACCGCTAAGCTCTATCTCCAACAGGAACGAAATGGCGCGGGGGGTGGCAACCCCCCCCCCCCCATGTGCGTTCTAGGATGGGAAAATGGCATGTGCGGGCGAGGGTTAAGTTTTACTTAATTGTTGGGCTTAATTTTTTAGTACTCTTTAAGCAAGCAAAAAAGCATATCAATAGACGCGCCTTTACGTGCTGGGTTCACTGGTGCTTTTGGTTTTGCTCTCTCTTATTTAGATTAACCCTCGCCCCGTTGGGGGGGGGCATTTTGGCCCCCCCTGTGGTTTTTCCTGAATAGCAAGAAAACGGCGGCGCGCAGCGCCGCCAAATTTTCAGTACCTTCCCGGGCATCAATTTGACACCTTCACACCAAATTTCAAGTCTTAGGTCACCTTAGGTCAGGAGTTATTGAGGTCAAACTGAGGTCATGTTCGAGCAAAAATGAGCAAAAAACATGCAATCTTGAAACGCTCACCAAATCTACAGTTATCAAGCAATTTCAAAGTTCTTTATATGGTCTAGTAGACAAAAAGCAGCGCTACAAAACTGCTATCTCGGATTTTCAAAATTTTTGGTTTTTGACCAAAAAAAAATCAAAAAATTGATTTTTTTAGAAAAACTTTGAAAAAATACAAAATTTTTCCGAATTTCGAAACAACCGGAATATATGTGATAGTCCCAGCGCTCTTCTATATACATACCAAATTTCAGATCGATATCTTGTTTTTTGGCCAAGTTATAGCGAAAAAAAACTGTTCAAAAATGATGACGTCAAATTTTTGAACTCAATTTTTAGCAATTCTAGACCACGTACGGCAAAACAAAGACCACCATTGAACTCCCCGTGACGAGCTGCATCGATTCGATACCCATTTTATGCAAAAATACTAACTTTGAAATTTGACCTAATTTGACCTGACCTTGACCTGACCTTGACCTGACCTTGACCAAAACGTGATCTAAGCTGGCCCCAAAGGCTGCCTGACCCATATAATCGCATTTGTCATGTAAAATGGACCATAAAACATGTATCACACGACACTTTCATATTGTGACCCCCCGTGACCTGACCTCTGTGACCTGACCTGGTATCAGTGACCTCAAATAGCAAAATATGTGTTTGAAGAACATTTCCCCATCGATGATTTTCAATGAAATGCATTTTACTCGATTTTACAACGCATTTCTTGAAGTGCCTGTAAACGGTGAAAATTGGACCTTTGACCTGACCTGTGACGTCATCGGTTTGACCTAGGTCAATAAAATTGGGTCACAAGGTAGTTCCCCGTTGGGTCTATCCAACGCCGTTTACCGCTTGTCGCTATGTTGCGTGGTTCTCGAGATCTTAGGGGGGGGGGCCAAAATGGCCCCCCCCCAACCGGGCGCGTTGCTCGGCAGAGCCCAACGGGGCGCGGGTTAAAGGTTATAAGCGAAAAAACGTTTGACCTGTTTTAACGAATTTTTTACACTTATACCCCCTAAAACCCCCCCAAAATATTGACCTAGAGCAACCAAATTTGCACAGGGGCTAGAACTCCGGGGGGCCACCTACCTACCAAATTTGGTGTTTCTAGGTGTCATAGGAGCCAATTGCGGGAGGGGTGGGGGGGAGGTCACAACCCCCGCCCTGCCACACTGCGTTATGAAAAATGCCCTGCCAGGGCAAGGGTTAACCCTCGCCCGTATAGGGGGGGGGGGGCGAACGGTTTTTCGTTTTTTTTTCTCGAATAACTCGCGTAAAAAGCGGGCAATCGCGACGAAATTTTCAGTACCCTCGCGTTAATCAATTTTACACCTACCCTGAAAATTTCATGACCTTGACCCAAATGACCTTTAACCCGCGCCCCACTGGGGGAGGGGGGCTATTTATAGCCCCCCCCTCTACCGTTTTTCTGCAATAACTTCCAAACCGCTTAACGTATCGACGCCAAACTTTCAGTACCTTCGGCTACATCAATTTGACACCTTGTGTCAAAATTTGAACTTCGTAGCTACCATAGGTCGGCCGGAAATGGCGTCAGAGTGACGTCATGTTCGGCCGATTTCGACGCAAAACATTGAACCACGGCAATCGTTCCCAAGGGCTCAGTTTTTAAGCTAGATCCAATTTCTTTGCATGAGAGGACTTAGAATAGACTGCGCTATCAAACTGCCATCTCGGAGTTTCGAAATTTTGAAAATTTTGAGAAAAAATTATAATAAAATTCAAAATTTACATTTTAACATTTTTTCAAAATATTTTTGACTTTTCGAAAAAAAAACGGAATATATGTGATAGAACGCGTTATTATGACTATCTCTAGCCAGTTTTAGCTAAATATCTTCAAAAATGGCCAGGTTATACGCATTATTGCAAAAAAAAATCACAATTATTAATTATTCAAATCAATTTTTCACCACGTATTTGACATGATACGCCAATATAGATAGCACCATCGTGTTCCTGAGCTCAAACTGCATCCAATAGACACCTTTTCTGTTGAAAAATTATAACTTCAAAATTTGACCTTTTTTGACCTGAAAGTGACCTGACCTAAGCTAAATTCGACTCAAAATGACCTCGAATGACACAGACGACATCAAATTCGAAATCTTTGGCCTAAATGGACCATAAAACATGTGTCACGTGACCGACGCATGATATAATATTTTCGTGACCTGTGATGACCTGACCTTGACCTGAAAATCAAAGTACAAGTTTGGTACTCTCAGGGTATCTAGAGCATCTGTTCACGAGTTTGTGAACCAAAAATGAGCCTGATCTAACTTGTAAGACGGCGGCTAGAGCCCAAAACGTGAACAAGTAAAAATGCTAATAATTTTTACTTTGACCTGACCTGTGACGTCATCGGTGACCTCGATGTCAATGAAATTAGGTTTCGCTTGACAGTTTTTCCGGGGCTATCAGACGCCGTTTGAATTTTGACAATCGGCCCAGTAGTTTCAGAGTTAGGAGGTGGGGGGGGGGGGCTATAAATAGCCCCCCCCCCCCCAGTAGGGCGTGTTATACGCAGACCCCAGTGGGGCGCGGGTTAACCTGTGACCTACTTTTCGAGACCATGTTTGGCCGGAATCGCGATTCGACACATGTCGGCTCGCATTAGCTGCGCTTTTGCAGTCTTTTCGTGGTTTCAAACGCTCAAACATGTGATATGATGTTGCCTCCATGCATTAGGATGGGTGTCAAGGTCATCTAAAGGCCAAGTCAGGTCATTGGCCTTTGGTGACCTCGGTTCACTTTTTCGAGTTTTACATGTTTATAGGCTAGTTTTTCGGGCTGAATTCGAATTTAGCAACCATATGAACGTTTACGAAGTAGCTTTGGTGCCTTCGTAACATGTTACGAAGCTGTCAGAGGCGGTTGACACCTACTACGAATACCCGGCAGGACCCCTACTATTTGACCTGACCCGACCTGGTCTAAATGCATGAAGACATCATCTCTGATCAAAACTAGCATGATATTCGTGATCAGCACCCCGAAAACCCCATAGCAGCCACAATTTACGACTTTCTAACAGGGCCCAATTTTCCCCGATTTTTGGGTCATTGACCTGACCTGGAAGGTCAACCAATGACCTAGGGCCTTAGAATTAGGTATCATCGGCTTCCTCCCGTCACGGGCAACACGCTCGTTTTTCTCCGCGAAGCTCTAGCTCGATCAGGGGCGAAATGGCAAGGGGGGTTGGTCAAACGGACCCCCCTTCTACGGCAGCTGGAAAAACACCAATACGGGCAAGGGTTCAGAAAAAATTGAGTTAGGCGTTGATGGCTGGATTGTGCCAATCACGCTGTGCCCATTGTTTCAGATATTCGCACTGTGCTCGTGCATGGCCATGGTGGTCGCCCTGGTTTCCACATCAGAAACTTCTGAGGCAGGTGAGTTCCATCGGCTTGTAGCCTTTCGGGATGAGGCTCAATACAAACTTCTTTGATCTTCTATAGCATGCACACGTTCCGCTGGGGGTGGGGGTGGAGAGACTTTCCCTTTTCCCGTATTTCTGCAATAGTTTTTGATCGCTTGAAGTGAAACTTTCAGTATCTTAGTCTTCATCAATGGGACGTGGTTCAGAAGAAATCAACAAATTCTTCTCAGAAAGTTTTGCAATGGTCACGTCTAAGTGACATGTCACGCATTTTTCGTTATAAAAGTCACGAGCTTCAGCTGTGACGCTGGTGGATTTCCTTCGTGTGTGACATGATCGGCTTTGGTATGGCGTTGGTGTGACGTTGGTGTGACGTTGGTGTGACGTTGTAGTGTGACGTTGGGATGTGACGCAGAGTTTTGCTGACATCACCTGCAGAGTCCAAGGAGGAGCGACTGATTGGCGCCATCATTACATCCACGACCACACTCTCCCGACTGCGAACGACTACCGTGACGGCACCTCTGACCTGCCTGCTCGGTAAGTCGCACCATGTGACGGCGCCTGTGACCTGCCTGCTCGGTAAGCCACACCATTTGACGGGACCTGTGACCTGACTGCTCGGTAAGCCACACCATTTGACGGGACTTGTGACCTGCCTGCTCGGTAAGCCACACCATTTGACGGCACCTGTGACCTGCCTGCTCGGTAATTCGCACCCCGTGACGACGGCGATTTGAAGACTGCGAACAATATCTAACTATCGTGCCGGATTACATAATTATGATTTCACAACCGAATCGCTGTGATTGTGCAGAGTCCACGCTCCTTTCCACGCACCCGCCCATGCCCGGCTATTTCCAGTAATGTCTGGCCATGCCCAGCCATGTCCGGTAATGTTCAGCGCTGTGTGCCCGGTCCTGCGTCGTGCGTTGTCCAGCGCTCGCTGACGCCTCGGTGCGCTGTTCGTTACAGGCGTCCCGCCCGCTGCTACCGCGTGTACCGGCCGCAGGAGGAGGCGACACGCCACCGGCGCCACCATGTACCCGCACGACATGCCAGCCAGGTGAGCCAGCCGCCAATAGTTCCCGGAGACGCCCAATCGGGGCCGGTCTGGTGAACTGCGCTTTTACTCTAGATGAGAGAGCTGTCAGCTCTCCGGCTGATGCAGTGACAGTGTCGCTCTAGCTACCGTTCGTCCCTGGAGCGCCGCCGACCGTTAGCCGTGTCGCCCGTGCGCTACTGACCGATTTTCTGTCCCCAACAGCAGCGCCAACCAGGCCGTCGACAAGCTGGACTCGTCGATGGTTTCCAGCTCTGACGAGCGCAAGGGGAAGATCCTGCTGTTCGCCACCCGGCTGGTCACCAGTCTGACCGACTTCACCACGACGTCCACCTCCACGGACAGCAGCACCACTGTGTCCGTCTCAGTGCTCTGCACCGTCGCCGGCATCCCCATTGCCGAGTCGTTCCGTATATGCGCCGCTTAGTGCCTGTCGGCCTGTCAGCGGCGCGCAGTCGCGCGGCAACGCACTGCAGCTGGGAGTGCCGTCCAGCCGCCGAGCTCAGTCGAAATACTGGGGCCTGCCCTGCTGGTCTGCTGATGTGGTACTGTGCTGGTCTACTGGTCTGGTCTGCAAGGTCTGCTCGAGTGGTCGGACCCTCAGTGTTTGAAGAAAAATAACATCAGCTTGTGATGTGGGGATTTGCAATAAAATCAGCCCAGCGCCCAGCTACAATCGAAACGCATGGCGAAACATCAGCCTTAACATCTAAGCTGTGAATGTCATGCTGTTGTTATTTGTTGACTTGTTAAATTATGTGCCTGTTACGTCAAATATAGTATTTGCAGCGCATCCCTTTTATTTTTTCATTTGGCAATATAATAATTGTTTGTTTATGGCGTAAAACAATGCAATTGGGCAGTGATACTTGTTTGATCTCGGTTCAAACAAGTTCAAACTGTGTAATGACGGTTAAATCATAACATAACGGCAAAACTTGACGTTACTTGCACTGCATCTCCGGCCAGCCTATCCTAGCCGCTGAAATAGCTTTTGGTCATCATGCTCATCATATTCGTCGAAAGAGACACGGTTTTATGTTGCGGATTATCAGCAAAAAAAAAAACGTTTTTTTTTTAATAAAGAATTTGACTTTTATTGACATATACTTAACCCGCGCCGGACTCGTAGGGGGGGGGGAGGGTCGGACAACCCTCCCATACGCCTATCGGTAAACATCTGAGATAAGGTGAAGCTCATTTTATGCGTCTTTCCTGCATATGCTGTAAAAATTACAGACCCAGGGCACTCAAAGTTATCATTGGCTTACGCCAAGTGACTTTATCTCTGAAGAAAAAATTCAGATGCGCACCATAGCTACTCCGACTGAAAGATTCCCTAAGGCCTTCAGCGATTGGTGACAGTAACATTATGTAGGCACATTACGCATGGTATGAAACTTTTATCTCGAAATTTCGATATCATCAAAATCACCTTTATTGTCCAAAATGTCAACTTAAAAATTTGACCATTTTTGACCTGACTGTGACCTGACCTTCATTTTAACCCTCGCATGTGTGCGGCGTTTGCCAGCTTCTAATGTGTAGGGGGGGGGGTCGGTTGGACCCCCCCCCTTGCCGTTTGGCCCCTGATCGAGCTAGAGCTTCGCGGAAAAAACGAGCGTGTTGCCCGTCACGAGAGGAAGCCGATGATACCCAATTTTAAGGTCCTAGGTCATTGGTTGACCTTCCAGGTCACGTCAATGACCCAAAGTCGGGAAAATCGGGACCTGTTAGAAATTCGTAAAGTGTGGCTGCTAACGGGTTTTTCGGGGTGCTGGTCACGAATATCGTGTTAGTTTTGATCACAGATGATGTCTTGAAGCATTTAGACCAGGTCGGGTCAGGTCAGGTCAGGTCAACCAGTAGGCGTCGTGACGGGTATGCGTAGTACGTGTCAACCGCCTCTGACAGCTTCGTAACATGTTACGAAGTCACCAAAACTACTTCGTAAATGCTCAAATGGTTGCTAAATTCGAATTCAGCTCCAAAAACTAGCCTAGAAACATGTAAAACTCGAAAAAGTTAACCGAGGTCACCCGAGGTCACCAAAGGTCAATGACCTGACCTGACCTTCAGGTGACCTTGACACACACGGGAGTAACATCAAATCACATGTTTGAACGTTTGAAACCACGAAAAGCTTGCAAACACGCGGCTAGTGCGAGCCGACATACGCGAAATCGCGATTCCGGCCAAACATGGTCTCGGAAAAGAGGTCACAGGTCAAAGGTCATTTGGGTCAGGGTCATGAAATTTTCAGGGTAGGTGTAAAATTGATTAATGCGAGGGTACTGAAAGTTTCGTCGCGATCGGCCGCTTTTTACGCGAGTTATTCGCGAAAAACCATGGGGGGGGGTCCATCCGACCCCCCCCCCCCCCTACACATGCGAGGGTTAACCGGCCGGAATGGAACTCAGACGGCAAAGACAACTTTATTGTTGAAAAATATGGCCAAATTGGGCCATAAAACATGTGTCGCATAGCAAATATGCCTCAAAACTTTCATGACCTTTTGTGACAGAGCTTGGCCTATTTTTGACCTGAGGCCTGCCGGCTGCCAAATACAGGCTATATAACCTGGTATCTTCTGCGTTCATAGTTATGGGTGCATAAACAAAAATGATCTTGTTTAGCGTTGTCACTTGTTTAGCGTCGGTTCGAGCCCGAAGTGTGAACATATCAAAATGTTGATTATTCTTATTTTGACCTGACCAGCAGCGTCATCAGTGGCCTGAAAGCAACATTTCGCACGCTCTTCCGATAGTTTATGTTGAATTTTGAAAAACAGTCGGTAGCCTTCCGAGATCTATAGGTGGGGGGGGGGGGGACGATCTCCCAACGGGTGGCCGGGTCTGGGAACAGCCCACTGCCCAACGGAGCGCAGGCTAAATGAGTACGCCAAACCAAGAAAAGCCACGTGATGCCTCAAAACAATGCAGAGTTTTCCAGGGTGTCAGTTTTCCATAAGTTCCACATCTTTTACTCACCGCAGCAAGCTCAACGCATACAGATCACGTCGCAGTGGTCAAACAGCCGCTTTTGCAACAGCGTGACCATTTTCTGACACACGCCCCAGCTGAAAGTCACCCCGAACACTGATGCATTGCGCAACATCTGGCGTTTACAGCACAACTGTTCACAGAGTAGGTACCGATTACAGTATCTGGTACAACTTAGTACCTACTTTTCACCCAGTTTAAGACGCCGCCGACTCGCCGCCGTCCTCGGTACAGCTGTGCATGCTCTCCAGCTGCCAGAGCCGCTGCACGCACTCGTGGTGACGCTCCACGCACTCGGCCGTCATCTTGTGGTTGCTGCCCAGACTGCGCGTATACGTCCGCACGCAGCTGGCGATAATGGGCGTCACCTCGCGGTACAGCTCGAGCGTCAGCTGCGGCGGGATCGAGCGCGTCACGATGTTGCCGTGCAGCTGCAGCAGCTGCTGGTGCTGCTCCCCGCTCAGTTGCGGCCGCACCGTCTCCAGGAAGGAGCGCCGCTGCCGGCCGCCCTGCAGCACCGCCTGTAGCTTGAGCTTGGGGTCGGGCGACGCCTCGCCCCCGTCGTCGCCCTCGTCCGGCTGGGAGACGCGCCGCTTGTTGACCTTGATGTGGAGGCCGTTGACGGCGATGGAGCGGCGTCGGCCGGCGCCGCGGTTGATAGTCATGCTGTCGCGGCGCGGCTCGGTGTGAACCTGCAGCGCCGGCTGGTCGCCGAGCGGCTCGAAGGCGCGGCTGTTGGTGCGCCGCGACTGGTAGCGGCCGGCTGTGTTCATTCGCAGGTCACCAACGATGCCTCCGCCGCTGATGGAAACTGACGACGTCCGACCGTCTACCGACGGCGTACGAGCAGCTCCCGTCTCCTTTCGCTCTTCAGACATCGTGAACATTACCGCATACGCTTACATAATAAAGATAACTGCGCATTTGTAATCTAATAGGCTGTATATATTTTAAGGCCCAAGTGGAACATTAGAAGCTACCTTTCCAAGCATGCTTTCCAAGATGCTTTGAAACTTTCAAGGCCCCTCCAAGGCCCATCATTTCGTAGTTTGACACGTTTGACGTCTTGATCTTGCAGTCTTATTTTCACGCGCATTTTTACACAAAGTCTTCCCAGCTGCTGCCTTTTATGTGCTTGGAAATGTTTCATTTTTAGCCGAACGAGAGGTCGCTTCAACATATTCCCTTGTGATGAAATACTAGGACTTACTCCACAAGGAGATCGAATGGGTCGGAGCGCTTTCAATATGTATTATACATATCGTCGTCAGCGAATCAATAACGGGTCGAATCGAGTCGGGTATCGAAGAGGTTCGGGAGCTGCGCGGCAGAGCGATCACATACTATTCGAATTATGCATTAAAGAGAATAAAAAACACGTGAGAACAATCATGATACACTAGCTGCTAAAATGAATTAAAATGGGGTGCTAAAATGCATAAATGGCACGTATAAAAGTACAATAAGGGGGGGGGGGAACAGGATACCTATGGTGATAAAGACTGAGTAGAAAAGGGAACAAAGACTATACAAAACTGAGTGCAAAAACTGTAAAAGGACGAGTACAAATGTAAATACATACAAAGGCCGAACTAGACGTAAACACTACTGACAAAAACGGCGGATTATCGGCAGCCAGCGGTCATGCAGCAGGGCACCCGAGTTCCTGTTCACGTTTGCGTCATTCGGCGACACCAGGACGGCTTCACGCCGACCAACAGTCCGAATATAGGCCGATTCCAGGAGAAGTCGCATCTGGTGATGACTGGCTCGATTCAAGATCTTGATGGCATCGAAAGCAGGTGAGCAGTCTCTATGGGTACTGAAGGCCGATGTATTGGCTCTCGAGCGGACTGCTCCAGTCCAGCTCTCCCGGTGTTCTCGGAGTCTCGTGCCCAGCTCACGATCTGTCTCGCCGATATAGACCATTGGGTCACCGTCCACTTGGCAGGAGCACTCGATCCGATAGATGACGTTGCTCTGTTGTAGCTTAGGCAGTTGGTGCTTAGCCTTGCTGCAGAGCAGCGAGCCGATGGTGACTGAAGGCTTGGAGACGAGCTGGATCCCGATCTTGCTGGCCTCCCGTTTGAGTTGGTAGAACAGGGGGCCGGCAAACGGAACAGAGACTCGGACAGGCGCCGGGTGTGAGTTCGCGCTAGGTGGCTCCAGGCTGATCTGGAGCTCCTGGCGGCCAACTGTGGTGGCAGGGTCCATGCTTTCTGCCGATACGCGGACGACTACCTGGTCTTGTTCGAGGGCAGTGACGACATCCTCAACACGTGGGTCAACCAGCTGAACAGCAAGGACTCCAGCATCAATGTCACCACTGACTTGGAAGTAAACCGACAGCTACCGTATCTTGACATCTGCATCACTAGAAGAGACGACAAGTTCTGCACCAAGGTCTACAGGAAGTCCTGCAACACCAACCAAGTGCCTGCCTTCAGCTCCTACACCGAGACCCGCTACCTGAGAGCGGCCATTCGATCTGACTGCACTCGAGCGATCCGATACTGTTCGTCCATGAGAGACCGCCAGCAGGAGCTTGACTTCATCCGCCAGAAGTTTCATCATCATGGCTACCCACGATCATTCATCGACTCGGCCATTCAGAAGACTCGGACCGATCTCAGACTGAAGGCAAGGGCCCTACCAGCGCCACCTAGCGCGAACTCACACCCGGCGCCTGTCCGAGTCTCTGTTCCGTTTGCCGGCCCCCTGTTCTACCAACTCAAACGGGAGGCCAGCAAGATCGGGATCCAGCTCGTCTCCAAGCCTTCAGTCACCATCG